GAGCACCCAAAGGGTCAGGGCGGTCGCAATACCGGCGGCAGATATCGCAAGCAACAGGGTTGCCAGCAGGGCAGGGCCACCCGTGCCGAAAGAATCCATCATCCTCGCAAGGCTCCAGCGCTGCGGCAGAACAGCTGGAAACCACCAGGATTTCGCCGTCGTCCAGACCACAAGCAGAACGATGGAGACAGTCATGAGTGCAACGATGATCGACATCGCCCAAAGACCCGCCTGCCGAGCTGCAGCGTCCTGCCGTCGCCGGTGGCCACTTTCAAAGCGCGACTTCAGCCAAAGCGTCACGCCACGCTCCAGAAGCAGGTAGACAATCAGCGAGACCCCGCTGACGAAGAGCTGGAGAAGCGCACCTGCGGATGCCATCAGCCTTTTGCTCAGGTCCGGATCGTTCATCCAGACGATCAGTCGAGGCGCCAGCGGTGGTGGGGTCGTCGGTCCAAGGAGCTGCGCCACGTCGACCACGGAAGTCGCATAGGCGATGACTGCCAGCATGGGAAGGCGGATAAGCGGATAGATCTGTGGCAATATCACCTTGATGAACGTGCTCATCCGGCCATACCCGAGGCTCGCCCCGGACTTGTAGAAGTCGCGGATATGCGGCCTGTTCAAGGCTGCAAGTGTCATCAGGAAGAGGAAGGGAACTTCCTTTGCAACCAGCCCCAGTGTCATTGCGATACCGGCCTGGTCATTCAGGATCAGGAGATCGGGCGGGCGCGTCCAGCCGGTTGCCCAGGGCGATAAAAGACGTACGAGAAACCCGGAGGGGGCAATGAGAAAGGCGAGCCCGATTGCTGCCGCAGCATGCGGCACAGACAGCAAGGGTGACAGAAATCGGGTCAGCCGCGCGAAGGTCCTGGTTCCCGACCAGCCGGCGGTAAACAACAGCACGATTGCCAATGAAAGGATCGACGCAACAAGCCCCGTACCGAAACTCAACAAAATGGAAATCTGAATACCCGGCATGTTGAACAGGGCACGAAAAGGTTCAATTGAAAAAGTGCGATAGCCGAGAACCGGCAGATAGCCGAAAGCGGGCAGGATCGTACCGGCGAGACCGGCAAGAACCGGTCCTGCGAGCAGGATCGTAACGAGAACGGTTGCAATGTCCGGTCTGCCGGTTGATTTGGGCAAGGGCCCTCACTCGCTCCCTGAACCGTATCGCTCCGTCCAGGCCTCTTCCAACGCGCTCACCCAGCTCGGGTGCGGTTCCGGCAGAACCGGGCCAAGGTCTTCCGGCGCCAGGGTTGCGGGGCCAAGATCCTGGGATGTGAAAAGCGCCCGTTCATTCGCCGGCAGTGCGTCGACATTCAGAACAGTCCGATCTCCCCAGATTTCAGGCTCCTGTTTCCGTGTCTGGGCCATGGGGCTCAACAGAAAGTTCGCGTAGACCTTCGCCCCCGCCTGGTTGGAGCTGTTGAAGGGAATGGCGACGAAATGAGTGTTGCCGATTGTGCCGCCGTCGAAAACGAAGGTGCGCACGCTATCCGGCAGTTCGCCGTTCGCGATTGCGCCTGATGCATCCCCGGGATTGAATGAAAACGCTATGTCCAGTTCGCTGTCTGCCAGAAGCTGGCGCATGTCGGCGGCATTCTTGGGAAAAGCCCTGCCCTTGCGCCACAAATGCGGATGAAGCTCATCCAGATAGGCGAACAGGGGTGCAACGATTTCGTCGAAACCTGCATCGTCGACCGGTTCGGACAGTACGGTCTTGTCGGGGACCGTATTGACGAGGGCCTGTTTCAGGAAGGTCGTGCCGTAGAAATTGGGCGGCTGGGGATAGGAGAACCGGCCCGGATTGTCCCTGGCAAAATCCATCAACTCCCGAAGGGTCGACGGCGGCGTGTCCAGCCGCGCGCTGTCATACATGAAAACGAGCTTCGCCATTCCCCAGGGGCTTTCCTGCCCGTCGGTCGGCACGGTGAAGTCAACGACCACCGTCGGCTTGTTTTCGACGTCCACATATTGCCAGTTGGGGAGCGTTTGCGCCCAGCCGGGCGCCGCAAGCAGACCATTCGTTTTCATGGAGGCGAAGTTCTCGCCGTTGATCCAGATGAGGTCGACGGCACCGCCGGTTGCCTTTCCGACCGACTTTTCCGCCAGAACCTGCGACACGACGCTCGCCGTGTCACTGATTTTCACATGAACCACGCGAACGCCATAATCGCGCTCCACTTCACGGGCTGCCCACAGGATATAGGCATTGATGCGCGGTTCACCGCCCCATGCGTGGAAATAGACGGTCTCACCCTTTGCATCATCGAGAATCGTCTGCCAGTCCTGCCCCTGAGCGTTCACTGAAAAAGTGGCCAATAACATAGCGAAAGTGCCTGTTCCGGCAGCAAGCAGTCGGTTCATCCTGGTCCTCGATTCAAGACATGATCTGTGACCGTCCCATCGCGCAGGCTGTGTGACACGGTCAAGACAACGCTTCGTGAATGAAATATGCACACCCTGTTCATCAGGTCGGGGCGGTCGCCCGCCAACAGGCGCAGGTCTGGGCGAGTCAGGTCCCGCGACGCTTGGCTCGCCGGGTCGCGTCGGCCAGGGTAGGATCATCTGGCCACGGGTGCTTCGGATAGCGTCCCTTCATGTCAGCCTTCACGTCTTTCCAGGAGCCCGCCCAGAATCCCGGAAGATCCCTTGTGATCTGGATCGGCCGTTGCGCAGGTGACAGCAATTCCAGGATCAGCGGAAGCTTGCCGTCGCAGACGCTTGGATGAATTGTCAGTCCAAAGAGTTCCTGGACACGGATCGAAAGCGACGGGCCGGCGGCAGCGCCATAGTCTATCGAAACCTTGCTGCCCGTTGGCGCAGTGAAGTGGGAGGGTGCGAGCGCATCGAGTTTCGCGGCAGCATCAAAGGGCAGGAGGCCTGCAAGTGCGTTGCCGAGGAGAGCGGCATTCACACTTGCGAGACTTGTCAGGCCAGACAGATAGGGTTGCAACCAGTCATCAAGCGTGCCGGTCAGGTGTTGATCGGAAAGGTCGGGCAGGTCATCCGCGCCGTTTTCACGAGAGTATGCGACCCGCTTGCGCAGCCGTTGCTGGTCCTTGCTCCACGGCAAACGGGACGTCCCTCTGCGCCTGATCTCATTGATCAGGGCTCTTTCGACCGCAGCGGGATCTGCCGACCTGATTGATGTCGACTGAAGTTCCACGGCCTTGTAGCGGACGACACGGCGGGCCTTGAGAGCACCTTCTCCGGTTAGCTGGACCTCGTCCTCCTCAACGATGTCACCGGCAAAGAGCGCTTCGATCTCACCCCGTGTGATGGGAGCGCAAAGCTGGACCCGGCCATTCGCCGCCTTTCCCTGTACTTCCGCAATCGCCAGGAATTCAGCGTCTGCGAGCGCGTTTTCGCGCTCCAGTTCCGCGCCTCGGCCATTGGCGAGACGGAATCTTCCGATCTGGCCACGCGCCTGGGCGACACGGTCCGGATAGGCGAGGGCCAGCAATATTCCTGCGCTTTCGATTTCAACTCCGGTGCCATTGCCACCGGCCTGTTTGAGCCACCTTGAAGCAAGCGCGCGGCCATCCTTTGCACGTTGGCTCTTTTCGTTCCGGACAGCCCGCAAGCGTGCGCGCAGATCCGGGTCACGGCCACCGAGACCGGGTTCGGACAGGAGCAGTGCGATCAGGGCTGCGGTATATCCGAGACCCCGATCGGCACCTTCAATCACCATGTGCGCAAGGCGGGGGTGCAGCGGCAGACTGGAGAGCGCTTTTCCCTGCCTCGTCAGATGACCGGCCGCATCGAGCGCACCGAGATCCGTCAGGAGTGATTTGGCCTCTTTCCAGGCGGCTGAGGGAGGCGGGTCGGCGAAAGTGAGGCTTGTCGGGTCGAGCGTGCCCCAGGTCGCCAGATCCAGAACGAGACCTGTGAGATCCGCTTCGAGGATTTCAGGTGCTTCGGCTGCAGGGAGGGCGACAGTCTGAGCTTCGTCCCAAAGCCGATAGCAAACGCCGGGTTCCGTCCGTCCCGCGCGGCCTCTTCGCTGGTCTGCGGAGGCACGCGATACACGCACTGTTTCAAGCCGGGTGAGGCCCGTTTGCGGTTCGAATTTTGGAACGCGTGCTAGACCGCAATCGATGACAACGCACACGCCTTCGATGGTCAGGGATGTCTGAGCGATCGAACTGGCAAGCACGATCTTCCGGGTGCCGTCTTCTGCCGGTCTGATGGCGGCGTCCTGCGCTTTTGCGTCGAGACCGCCGTAGAGGGGTGCAACCTGGCAATTGGCGGGCAATCGGCCGGAGAGAAGGTCGGCCGTGCGCCTGATCTCGCCCTGGCCCGGCAGAAACACAAGCAGCGAGCCAGTCTCCTCACTGACAGCCTGCCGGACGGCGCGCACGGCCTGCGGTTCGATCCGGTCCTTCGGATCACGTCCGAGATATTTCGTTTCGACCGGAAAACTGCGTCCCTGACATTCCAGAACGGGAGCATCGCCAAGCAGTTTCGAAATACTTGCAGCATCCAGTGTTGCGGACATCGGGAGAAGCCGCAGGTCTTCCCGCAAGGCGGACTGAACATCAAGCGCGAGAGCAAGCCCGAGATCGCCATCAAGGGACCGTTCATGAAACTCGTCGAACAGGATGGCCGCAATCCCGGAAAGCTCGGGATCGTCGAGTATGAGGCGCGTGAACACCCCCTCCGTAATGACCTCGATACGTGTCCTGGAACTGACCCTGGTCTCCATGCGCACACGGTAGCCGACGGTTTCGCCGGGCTTTTCGCCAAGTTCGCTCGCCATTCGGCGTGCGGCTGCACGGGCGGCGAGCCGGCGTGGTTCCAGCACCAGGATCTTGCCGTCCTTTCGCCATTTGGCATCAAGCAGGGCAAGCGGGACGCGCGTTGTTTTGCCTGCGCCGGGTTCGGCCACGAGAACCGCATTGGTGCCGGCATCCAGCGTCCTGAGCAGGTCCGGCAGAACGCCGTCAATGGGAAGTGCTGTTCCAAAGGCGCTGCGCACGGGCATTTCCGCCGGTTCAGCCCGTCGCGGCGACGCGGCCGGACGTCCACTGGCGCCCGTGCATGTCAACCGCAAAGGTGTCTGGCGACCGGGCAAAGGAGGCAAGACCTTCCAGGGCCGGATCCGGGTGTCGGACGATGAAAGTCGGGATTTTGGCCATGAGGGTCTCATGGGGTGCTTTCGCCTCGAAGGCGGCCCGGAAACCGTCATCGGTCAGGAAACGTGTGATCCTCGGCGTTATGCCGCCGGTGAGATAAACTCCGCCCCGGGCAAGAACGGTCAATGCGAAGTCGCCTGCCACGCGACCGAGGCATCGTGCAAACACTTCCAGTGTCTTCACGGCAATCGGGTCGTTGTCGTCCGCAGCCTGGGTGATACTTGCCGGTGTCTCGAACCGGCGCTCGGCATTCATCCAGACTGCGACGGCCCGCGCAAGACGGGGCAGTCCTGTTCCACTGAGGAGTTGTTCAGCGCCTATGCGTCCGCCGACCTGCTCGATATGCGGCCAGATATCCATGTCTTCCCGGGTCACGGGGCCAAGTTCCACATGACCGCCTTCGCCAGGTACCGGAACCCAGGTATCGGACGCAAAGATCATGGCTGCCGCCCCAAGACCGGTTCCCGGCCCCAGCACGAATTTCGCGCTGTCTTTGCGAACGGCGCCCTTTCCGACCTGTTCGACATCCGTGCCGCTGTAGCCTGGCAAAGCGAGCGCTTGCGCTTCGAAGTCATTCAAGACAATGACCTCATCCAGCCCGAGGTCGGCGATCATCTTCAGGGGTTCGATAACCCAGGCAGCGTTGGTGAGCGGTATTGCATCGCCCGTAACCGGCCCGGCAACAGCTATGATCGCTGTTCTGGGTTTGATTTCAGTTTCGGGCAGGACAACCTGGCGGACGGCGGACGAGATATCGGAATGCCCAGCCGTCGCGGTCTTGCCACACATGCGGGTCGGTGCGTTGGCGTGGTCGACCAGCGCAAAGCGAGCGTTGGTTCCGCCGATATCGGCAACCAGAACCGGATAGGCAAATGATTTGGAATGATCGGAAAAACTCATGATGCAGTCGAACCAACCTCGGGCGTATCTGACGTTGTACCAAGCCCCTTCAATCGCGCGGACCGCAGGAGTATTTCCGCAGTGGATACGTTCAGCGCCATCGGAATATCGTAAACGATTGCAAGGCGCATCAAGGCTTTGACATCTACATCGTGCGGCAGGGGTGACATGGGATCAGCGAAAAAGATCAGCCCCTGCAGCTTTCCCTCCGCGATCAGGGCGCCGATCTGCTGGTCGCCACCCAGCGGCCCGCTCTTGAGGCGGGTGAGGGAGAGTTCCGGGCAGGCATCCAGGACGCGTCCTCCCGTGGTCCCGGTTCCGACCAGATCATATGCTGCCAGTTTGTCCCGATGGCCCCTGGCGAACTCAACCATAACGTCTTTCTTGGCGTCATGGGCGATAAGCGCGAGCGTGGGTATTTCGGACATGCAGATCCTCATTGCGATATGACAGACGGCGGGTTGGTATTAGCCGCAAAGACACGTCAGCGCAAAGGGCGATGTGCAAAAGACGATGTGAAATCACCGAACCGGTTCAGTCGGACGGTGCTGTCGCCGGCCGCCAGAAACAAAAAAACCGTGTTCCAAGCCGGAACACGGTCAATCAAAGAAAGAAACGTGGCCCGGTCAGTCGAAAAGGTTGCATCGCACGGGTTCACGGGCCGAAACACGCTGGAAATAGGGGTCGGGTTCATTCAGGTGCAGTCCGGCGATTTCGAGGACGAGTTTCATGCGGATAGCATCTGCAAATCCTTCCTTGGAGCGAACGGGAATTGCAAATGAACCCGGTCCACCGATCACGCAATCCTCGTAGTAGTGATCAAGATTGAGCATCGCCTGCCAGGTGTTCTTGTTCGACTTCATCATCAGGGGAAGCCCGTTTATGGTCACGCCCGAGGCAATCATCCGGTCGCGCATTTCCGTAACCGAGCCTCCCTGGTTGTTCGGCCCGTCGCCGGATATGTCGATCACGCGCCGCAGGCCCATGTACTTGTTGTTCTCAACCAGTTCGACCGATTTCTGCAGGGCGGATGCAATCGATGTGCGCTGCACCTGGCGCAGCGGAGCTTCGGCGATTTTGGAAGCGAAATGGGACGCAGACGCGGCGTCCTGAACGATTGTCCAATTGGCGACGATGAAATGTTCGTCGACACCGCCCCATTCCATGTAGGTGACGGCGACACGGCCGATCGGGCCAACCTGGATTGCGTCGAGAAATTCCCTCGAAGTCAGGGCCGAAACGTAACCGGCGCGCTGAATTTCCTGCTCTTCAGTATCCATGGATTGTGAGATGTCGACGGCCAGGACGAGTTCGACGTCCACTTCGTTGGCCGGATCGTAGGTGTATTGCGCGGCGGCAGCCAGTGCCGGCCGGTAGTCCCGGGCTTGCGTGGGGGCGGTACTCACAAAGGCCGCACCTAATAGGGACAGTATTGTTGCTACTGCAAGTGCACAGTCTTTCGTTATGTCGAGACGCATGGTTTTCTCCTTTTCAGCCTTTCGGCTGAGGTGCCACGTCTCCCCAGTTTTTATTTTATTGTTCTGTTACTCGTCTTTTTGATCCTTGTGATTTCTACGCAGGCATCAGAAATGCCATGAAATAGTCTGAGATTTTACTTTGCAAACTACGTGCCAAGGGTACCGGAATTCAATTTATCTGGCAAAATCAAATGTGCACGGAGTGCGTATATTCCACAGATAGGAAATATCTGCCGGATTGCTAGGCAATTATTGCCTATTTGGGTCACGATTCTGACATCAACCGGCAAAAATTGCCGTGCCGCCAGGTTGCCAATGTGGACCATGCCTGCCGTGAAATGCAGCAAAATGCCCAAAATTCGGACGTTTTGTGGGTTGACGGATAGGCCCTTGCTGGGCATGATCTGAAGAAATTCTCACTAGATGAAGAATTTTTCAGCGCATATAGCGAACTATGCGCGACAATGAAAAGCTCCACCAAGGAGCGGTGTATCGTTGGTCGGAGCCGCATCGGCTGCGCCAACCAGAGGGGAAGGTGCTGACGCAGTATGCAGACGCGCGAAGACGACTGGACATCTTACATGGCCATCCGGGCGGCCTGGCTGTCATTCGTGGGCGGCCGCACGCAAGGTGAGATCGCATCCCAATTGGGTGTGTCCCCGGCCAAGGTGCATCGTCTCATTGCCCACGCCCAAAAGGCAGGTTACGTGAAGTTCCAGGTTGACGGCAGGCCAATGGAATGTCTGCAGCTGGAAAAGGAACTTTCTCACTATTTCAGCCTGACCAACTGCATCATAGCACCCGATCTCGGCGGCGGAGATGATGAAGCTGTCCTGCGTGCGATTGCGGTTTCAGCGTCGCAGTTTCTCACTGGCCTGCTAACGGGTGCACACGTCACACGGTTGGGTGTCGGCATGGGTCGGACATTGACGGCGGCGGTTGAATCGCTGCCGAAGACGGCGCGGTCCGATCTCGAAATCATGTCGATCTGTGGATCGCTCACCCGCACTCTTGCTGCCAACCCATATGACATCGTCCAGAAAATGCAGGAGAGAACCGGCGGCATCGGTTATTACCTTCCTGTTCCCTATTTTGCGGAGAACCTGGACGAGAAGGCGATGTTCCTGACACAGCGGAGCGTGCAGGACCTGATGGCGCGCGCGCCAGTCCGATGCGTTTCTCATTGGCATCGGTTCGGTTGAGAATGAGGGGCATCTGGTTCAGCGCGGCATGATTTCAAAGCAGGAACAGGAAGAATTGATGTCTTGCGGGGCGGTCTGTGATTTGATGGGCCGCTTTTTGACGATTGAAGGAGAACTGGCTCCCGATCCGCTCGGCGATTGTGCCGTCGGTCTGCACTTTGACGAAGTGCGCGGGCGCCGCGTGATTGCGCTGGTGGGTGGCGAGAGCAAGGTGGATGCCACGCTTGCTGCACTACGTACCGGTGTCATTACCGATCTGGTGGCAGACGAGACCCTCGCGAGGGCTCTGAGTTCGCGGGTCGGATTGCAACTGGCACAGTCCGCATGAAGCGGCTGGGTCACGAGGGGAAACGGGCCGGTCAGATAAGACAGGCCCCCGCATGTCGGAGGACATATACGTGAAAAAGTTTCTAACCATCGGCACGGCGCTTGCCGGACTGGCCTTTTCCATCGCGAGTGCACAAGCAGCCGATATCAAGCCCGCCGTGCTTTACGATCTGGGCGGTCGGAATGACGAATCGTTCAACCAGGCAGCTTTCACCGGAGCCGAGAAGTTCAAGGCCGACTACGGCGTTGAATTCCGTGATTTCGAAATTCAGAACGACGCTCAGCGTGAACAGGCTTTGCGCAACTTTGCCAAGCGCGGCATGAACCCGATCGTGGCTATCGGATTCTCACAGGCCAATGCGGTTGAGAAGGTTGCAAAGGAATTCCCCGATACCCAGTTCGCGATTGTCGACATGGTCGTCGATCTGCCGAACGTCCGCTCGATCCTGTTCAAGGAACATGAAGGGTCCTACATCGTCGGCATGCTTGCCGCGATGGCTTCCGAAACCGGGAAGGTCGGTTTTGTCGGGGGGATGGACATTCCATTGATCCGCAAGTTCGCCTGCGGCTACAAGCAGGGCGTAATGGCCGTGCAGTCGGATGCGGAAGTGTTTGAAAACATGACCGGCACAACCGGCGCCGCCTGGAACGATCCGGTCAAGGGCGGAGAGTTGGCCAAGTCGCAGTTCGATCGTGGCGCGGATGTTGTCTACCACGCGGCAGGCGGCACCGGCATTGGTGTTCTCCAGGCTGCAGCCGACGCAGGTAAACTCGGCATCGGCGTCGACAGCAATCAGAACGGCCTGCACCCGGGATCCGTGCTGACATCCATGCTGAAGCGTGTCGACATCGCCGTCTTCCAGGCGTTTGAAGATGCCAAGAACGATAACTGGTCTTCCGGTTTCGAGGTTCTCGGCCTGCAGGAAGGTGGCGTTGACTGGGCACTCGACGCCAACAACGCGGAACTCGTTAACGACGAGATGAAGGCGGCCGTCGAAGAAGCCACCCAGAAAATCATCTCCGGCGAAGTTGTTGTCCATGACTACATGGCCGATGAATCCTGCCCGGGCTAAGTGACGGCCAGACCACTGCAGCCTCCGCGCAAGGGCGCGGAGGTTTCCCATAATATGTTCTAGCCAGTTGGGGGACCGGATGTTCCGTCTCAGCTCAAGCGCCTGCGCAGCGATATTCGTTGCCGCGCTCTCTGCCACGGCTGCCTGCGCCGACCCGGCCATCGTCTACTCCGTTGGTGGTAAGTTCGACGGCTCATTCAACGAGAGCGCCTTTGCCGGCGTGAAACGGTACATGGAAGAGACCGGCGAGAATGTCAGGGAATTCGAACTGGAACGCGACGCCCAAAGTCTGCAGGCGTTGCGCAATTTTGCAAGCAGGGGCAACGCACCTGTCATCGCGATAGGCTTCAACCAGGCCAACGCCCTGAAGCAGGCGGCGGAGGCTTTTCCAAATTCCGACTTTGCGATCGTCGACATGGTGGTCGATCAGCCTAACGTGCGTTCCTATGTCTTCAAGGAGCACGAAGGTGCCTATATCGGCGGCCTGCTCGCCGCGATGGCTTCGGAGTCTGGCACTGTCGGTTTTGTCGGGGGCATGGACATCCCGATCATTCAGAGATTTCTCTGCGGCTACAAACAGGGTGCCTTGTCGGCCGACCCTGACATCAAGGTGCTGTTCAACATGACCGGCGACACGCCTGCCGCGTTTGCCAATCCGGTTCGTGGAGGCGAATTGGCAACTGCTCAGATCAAACGTGGTGCTGATGTGGTGCTTCAGGCAGCGGGTGGCACCGGGCTTGGCGTGTTGCAGGCTGCCGCGGATGCGGGCGTGCTGGGCATCGGGACGGATAGCAACCAGAATGGACTGCACAAGGGCAAGGTTCTGACGTCGATCCGCAAACGCGTCGACAACGCCGTGTTTGACAGCTTCAATTCTGCCCGGGAAGGCTCGTTTTCGCCGGGTATTCAAGTCCTTGGCCTTGCGGAAGGTGGTATGGACTGGGTTCTGGACGAGAACAACAGGCCATTGATTTCCGATGAAATGAAAACTGCGGCCGATGCGGCAGTTGCCGGAATATCAGACGGAACCATCAAGGTTCATGATGTCATCAGTGACGGAGTGTGCCCATACTGAGGTACGTTTGCGGCGATGGGCAAACAGAAATGAAAAGCAAACTACGTCGGGCCTGGGGGACGGCATGAGCGAAATTCCGGCAATTGAGCTGCGCAAGATCAACAAGAGTTTTGGACCGGTTCATGCCAACAAGGACATTGATCTTGTTGTGAAAAAAGGGTCCATCCACGGGATCATAGGAGAAAATGGCGCGGGCAAGTCGACGCTCATGTCAATTCTCTACGGGTTCTATCATGCTGATGACGGCGACATAATCATCAAAGGCAAGAAAGTGACGATCGCGGACTCCAAGGCCGCCATCGGCATGGGGATCGGCATGGTTCACCAGCATTTCATGCTGGTCGACAATTTTTCGGTTCTGGAAAACGTGGTTCTCGGCGCGGAGGACAGTGCGCTGCTGGCAGGCGGGCTGTCGCGTGCGCGCACCGAATTGAAGCGTCTGGAAGAAGAATATGAGCTGCGCGTCGACCCGGAGGCCCTCATTCAGGATCTGCCCGTCGGTCTGCAGCAACGTGTTGAAATATTGAAAGCACTCTACCGCAGTGCCGAGGTTCTGATCCTTGACGAACCGACCGGTGTTCTCACACCGGCAGAGGCGGACCATCTGTTCAAGATCCTCGACGTTCTCAAGAATCAGGGAAAGACTGTCCTGTTGATTACGCACAAGCTGCGCGAAATCATGGCTGTCACCGACACGGTGTCCGTCATGCGCCGCGGCGAGATGGTGGCGACCAGGGAGACGGGGAATACCTCCATGGAAGAACTGGCCGAGTTGATGGTTGGCCGGTCGGTTCTGCTGCGTGTCGACAAGGAGCCGGCGCAACCGGAAGCGCCGGTCATGGAAGTTGAAAATCTCACGGTCACTGACAGCCGTGGTGTCCAGGTTGTCAAGGATGTGAGCCTTTCGGTCCGGGCCGGCGAAATTGTCGGCATCGCCGGAGTGTCGGGCAATGGACAGTCCGAACTGCTGGAGACACTGTCCGGCATTCGCCGCGCCACAAGCGGAACGCTAAAAATCCATGGTGAAAGCATAGATCTTGGCACCAGCACACTGGATGCTGCGGACATGCGCAAGAAAAACATGGGCCACGTGCCGGAAGACCGGCACCGTATGGGCCTGATCAACAGCTTCACCGAATACGAGAATTCCATTCTTGGTTATCACCGCGACCCCGCCTATTCCCGGGGCTTGCTGATGGACCTGGCGGCGATCAAGAAAAACGCGGTCGCCGAGATCGAGAAATACGATATCCGGCCACCCAATCCGATGCTCAAGACGGCGAATTTCTCTGGTGGCAACCAGCAGAAAATTGTTCTGGCACGGGAGATAGAGCGGGACCCGGAGGTATTGTTGATCGGTCAGCCGACACGCGGTGTCGACATTGGTGCAATTGAGTTTATTCACCGGCGGATCGTTGAACTGCGCGATGCAGGCAAGGGCATTTTGCTTGTTTCGGTTGAACTCGACGAAATCCGTGCACTGTCGGACAGGGTTCTGGTGATGTTTGATGGCAAGATTGTCGGAGAGCGGGGGAGCAACGCTGATGAGGGCGAACTCGGCCTGCTCATGGCAGGTGTCGAAGACAATCGCATGACAGCTGAAGGAGGCGTCCAATGAGTGGCGGTCAACTTCCGCGCTGGGTCGATCTCGGCCTAATCCCCTTCCTGAATCTTTCAGCTGCCTTTCTGGTATCCGGACTGGTCGTTATCCTGATCGGGGAAAATCCGCTGGACGCCGTCAAGGTCCTCCTCTGGGGGTCGCTCGGTTATGCCGAGGGCTTCGGGTTCACGCTGTTTTATGCGACCAACTTCATCTTCACCGGCCTTGCCGTCGCGGTCGCCTTTCATGCAGGTCTGTTCAACATTGGCGGTGAAGGGCAGGCCTATGTCGGTGGCCTCGGGGTTGCGTTCGCCTGCCTGGCGCTCGACCAGTACGTACCCTGGTACGTGACATTGCCATTCGCGATCCTTGGATCGGCTGCGATGGGAGCAGCCTGGGCTTTCATTCCGGCCTGGTTGCAGGCCAAGCGCGGCAGCCACGTGGTTATCACCACCATCATGTTCAACTACATTTCATTTTCGTTCATGGTGTACCTGCTGGGCAATGTCCTGAAGAAGCCGGGCTCCATGCAGAACGAGACCCGGACTTTTGAAGATGGCGGCCGGCTGCCGTTTCTGAACGATGTTTTCCCGTCCTTCGGCTTCGGCTATGCGCCGGTGAACCTGTCCTTGTTCGTGGCCCTGGCTGCCTGTGTGGCCGTCTGGTTCCTGATCTGGCGCACGAAACTCGGTTATGAAATCAGGTCCTTCGGCGCCAACGCCACGGCTGCCGTCTATGCCGGGATTTCACCGGTGCGTATCATCGTTGTCACGATGCTGATATCCGGCGGTCTCGCGGGCATGATGGCAATCAACGAAATCATGGGCTCGCAACACCGGTTGTTGATCGATTTCGTCACCGGTTACGGCTTTGTCGGTATCGCGGTCGCTCTCATGGGGCGCGCCCATCCTGTCGGCATCATCCTGGCGGCCGTGCTGTTCGGCATGCTCTACCAGGGCGGCGCGGAACTCTCGTTTGAAATGCCGAACATCACCCGCGACATGATCATCGTCATCCAGGGTCTTGTCATTCTGTTTGCAGGGGCGCTTGAACACATGTTCCGGCCGGCGATCGTCAGGTTCTTCACGCCCTCCCAGGCCCTTGCTGCGAAGGAGGCGTGATCATGTTCGAGACAATCATTTTGATGATGGACGCAACAATCCGCGTGTCGACGCCTTTGCTGCTGGCCTGTCTTGCGGGGCTCTATTCCGAACGTTCGGGTGTTGTTGACATCGGACTTGAAGGCAAGATGCTCGGTGCGGCATTCGGCGCAGGAGCGGTTGCCTACATCACCGCCAACGCCTGGCTGGGTCTTCTGGCCGGGATTTCGGTCTCCGTTCTGCTCAGCCTTCTGCATGGATTTGCGTCGATTTCAAACCGGGGCAACCAGATTGTCTCTGGCGTTGCCATCAATTTTCTGGCTGCCGGGCTGACAGCGCTCCTGGGGCAAACCTGGTTCCGCCAGGGGGGAAGAACTCCGTCTTTGCCCGACGGAGGACGTTTTACCGAAATCGTGTGGCCGTTTGCGGAACAGGTCCGCAATATTCCGATCATCGGCCCGTTCTATGCAGAAGTTTTGTCGGGGCACAAGATTCTCGTCTACGTCGCCTTTCTTGCCGTTCCGCTGACCTGGTGGATCCTGTTCCGAACCCGCTTTGGCCTGCGCTTGCGTGCAGTGGGCGAAAACCCGGCCGCCGTTGACACCGCGGGCATCTCGGTTGTCTGGATGCGGTATCGCGCCGTCATTGCATGCGGCATCCTCTGCGGTGTTGCGGGATCCTATCTCTCGATCGCTGTTGGCTCGGGCTTTGGCGTCAACATGACGGCCGGTCAGGGTTTCATGGCACTGGCGGCACTAATCTTTGCGAAGTGGAAGCCGGTCAGTGCAATGTTTACCTGTCTGCTGTTCGGTTTTCTTGATGCGGCCGGCACCCGGTTGCAAGGCGTTGAAATCTGGCTGATCGGTGAAGTCCCCCTGCAGGTGTTTCAGGCGCTGCCCTATGTCCTCACCGTCGTCCTGCTTGCCGGCTTCATTGGCAAGGCGATCCCGCCGAAGGCAGCGGGCATTCCCTATCTGAAGGAGCGCTCATGAGCGATTTGAACGCATTGTTCGAGGCGGCCAAATCTGTTCGCGAAAAGGCTTATGCACCCTATTCGAACTTTCTGGTAGGGGCAGCGTTCCGCACGCTGGACGGGTCAGTTTTTACCGGCTGCAACGTTGAAAACGCCTCTTATCCGGTCAGTGTCTGCGCCGAAGGTGGTGCAGTCAGCGCCATGATTGCTGCAGGTCACCGCGAGATTGAGGAAGCGGTTGTTGTCGGCGACGCCGCACTTTGCACACCTTGCGGCATCTGCCGTCAGCGTTTCGCCGAATTCGGCGCAGACAATCTCGTTGTTCATATCGCCGATCTGAATGGCATCAAGCGCAGTTTCACGCTCGAGGAGCTGTTGCCTGCCGCATTTGAACTTGAAGACAGGAAGGACTGACCCTCAATGAGTGGTTACGGCCGTGAATGCGCGGACATCGTCCGCGCAGCCCGCAAGGGTTCCTACAAAATTGGCATGATTCTCGGCTCGGGGCTTGGAGCCCTGGCGGAAGAGGTCGAGGATGCCGTCCGCATTCCTTACGCACACCTGACAGAGTTTCCGGTGTCCACGGTAACATCCCACTCCAGCGAGCTTGTCGCCGGAATGCTGGCCGGTGTACCGGTGGTGATCCTGTCCGGGCGCGCGCACTACTATGAAAGCGGCAATCCGACCGTTATGCGCACGCCGGTTGAAACATTGAAGGAACTCGGCTGTGAGGTTCTGCTCGCGACCAACGCTGCGGGATCCCTGCGCGAAGAAGTTGCGCCCGGGTCGCCGATGCTGATCTCTGATCACATCAACTGGTCCGGCAAGAACCCGCTGATCGGGGAAGAGGACGAAAAACGCTTCCTTGATCTCAGCGCGGCCTACGATCCGGAGCTGCAGGCCGTTATGAAGAAGGTCGCGGCGGAAACCGGTGATCCGGTCGCGGACGGTATCTACATGTGGTTCTCCGGCCCATCCTTCGAAACGCCTGCGGAAATCCGTTTGGCAAAGAAACTCGGTGCGGACGCAGTCGGCATGTCAACGGTGCCGGAGGTCATCATCGCACGCTTCCTGGGCCTCAGGGTCGCGGCGCTTTCGATCATCACCAACTATGGCGCCGGACTGCAGACCCATGCTCTGTCCCATGATGAGACCAAGACCATGGCTTTGATGGGCATGGAACGGATGAAACAGCTCGTAAGGGCCTTTGTGAAGGAGATCGGTCAATGAGCGATATGATCGAAATTGCAGCGCGTGCCCTCGGGCTCGTGGACCTGACCAACCTGAATGACGACTGCACTGCTGAAGACGTCAGCAGATTGACGGATCGGACCGTGACCGACCACGGTTCCGTGGCCGCTGTGTGCGTCTGGCCTCGCTTTGTTGCACAGGCTGCGAAGGAATTGACCGGAACGGGTGTCAAGGTTGCCACGGTCGTCAACTTTCCGGACGGCGGCGAAGACACGGACGCCGTTGTTGCCGAGACCGAGAAGGCGCTCGCAGACGGAGCCGACGAGATCGACCTGGTCATGCCTTACAAGGCTTTCTGCGAAGGCCGGAAGGGCTTTGCCGAGGAGCAGATCATCCGCGTGAAAGCGGCGATCCCGGAGCCGGCTATTTTAAAAGTCATTCTGGAAACCGGTGAAATCAAGGATCCGCTTTTGATCCACGCCGCATCCAATGTGGCGATCGCTGCCGGAGCAGATTTCATCAAGACCTCCACGGGTAAGGTTGCAGTCAACGCGACTTTGGAAGCTGCCGAGATCATGCTGACGGCGATTGAAGAAGCGCGCCGGGACGATGCGGAACGGGTTATCGGCTTCAAACCGGCCGGCGGTATCAAGACAGCTGAAGATGCGGCCGCATATCTTGCGCTGGCCGACAGGATCATGGGTCACAACTGGGTGTCGGCGACAACGTTCCGGTTTGGCGCAAGTGGTTTGCTGGACTCTCTGATTTCCACCATCGAGGGTCAGGAAATCGTTGACCATTCCCACCACGGCTACTGAGACGGCGTCAAAAAGGACAAGAAGAATGTTGCCGCAGGAACTCATTCGCAAGAAACGCGACGGTGGAACGTTGGACGCCGAAGAAATTGCATTCTTCGTTCGTGGGCTCGCAGATGGCTCGGTCACTGAAGGGCAGGTTTCCGCGCTTGCCATGGCCGTGTTCTTCAAGGGGCTCACGGTCGAGGAACGGGTTGCGCTGACCCTGGCCATGCGTGACAGCGGTGACGTAATGGACTGGATGGAAGTCGACGCGCCAATTCTGGACAAGCATTCGACCGGCGGTGTCGGTGACAATGTTTCTCTCATGTTGGCTCCGGCGCTCGCTGCCTGCGGCGCTGCCGTTCCGATGATTTCCGGACGTGGCCTCGGTCATACCGGCGGTACGCTTGACAAGTTCGACAGCATCCCGGGCTACCAGACGCAGCCGGACAATCTTCTTTTCAAGAAGGTGGTCCGCGATATCGGGTGCGCTGTCATTGGCCAGACCGGCAATCTTGCACCAGCGGACAAGCGTTTTTATGCGATCAGGGACGTAACGGCGACTGTCGAAAGCATCGATCTCATCACGGCATCCATTCTATCAAAGAAACTGGCCGCCGGGCTCCAGGGTCTGGTGCTGGATGTCAAATGGGGATCAGGTGCTTTTATGGCGTCTCTGGAAGAGGCCCGGGCTCTTGCTGAAAGCCTGGTTCTGGTTGCCAACGGCGCTGGTCTCAAGACGACTGCACTCCTGACCGACATGAACGAGCCACTTGCATCGGCTGCGGGTAACGCGGTCGAAATGCAGAATGCAGTCGATTTTCTGAAAGGCACAGCAGTGGACAACCGCCTCTGGGATGTCACCGTTGCACAGGGTGGCGAATTGCTGGCGTCCGGGGGCATCGCACCCACCGCCGAAGCGGGTGCTGAAATGATGCGTGAAGCCTTTGACAGTGGCAAGGCCGCAGAGAAATTCGCGCTGATGGTCCACGCGCTTGGCGGTCCGGTCGACTTCCTGGAAAAATGCGAGGTCTATCTTGCAAAGGCGCCGGTCCAGGCTCCGGTCTATGCCGAAATGGAGGGCGTTGTGACCGCGGTTGATGCACGCGCTGTCGGCGTTGCTGTGGTGGCACTTGGCGGTGGACGCCGGGCCGCGGCCGACGTGATCGATCCTTCTGTCGGCCTGACGGATCTGGCCGGTATCGGCAACACCGTGGATGCGGACGCTCCACTTGCCATTGTTCACGCGCGTTCGGAGCAAGAAGCCGAAACAGCGGCAGTAGCTGTTCGAAACGCCTACACAATCGGTGCGGCGATGGACGTTGCAGACAACCCGAGCATTGTCGGCCGCATCGCTCCTTGAACAGATATGCCGGGACTTCGGTCCCGGCGGTTTTCCGGTCCGGATGACCGGCAACAAACAGATTTGTGGAGAAACCCATGCCTCGTGCAATCCTGTGCGTTCTGGACAGTTTCGGCATTGGCGGTGCCACGGATGCGGACGCCTTCGGCGATGCCGGGTCCGATACACTCGGTCATATCGCCGAGCACTGCGCGGACGGTAGGGGCGACAGGGAAGGGCTGCGCAGCGGTCCCTTGTCAGTGCCCAACATGGATCGGCTCGGACTTGGGGCTGCGGGGCGTCTTTCAACCGGAAAGGCTATTCCCGGCCTGGATTTTCCGGGAGATCCAGATGGTCTCTGGGGATATGCTGCTGAAGTCTCGCACGGCAAGGATACTCCGTCCGGTCACTGGGAGATCGCCGGTGTTCCCGTGCGCTTTGACTGGGGCTATTTCCCGGAGACAATTCCGGCTTTTCCGAAGGAACTTGTCGCAAAGATCAGCGAAGCCGCAGGGTTGGACGGAATTCTCGGTGACAAACATGCATCTGGAACCGAGATCATCGCAGAACTTGGCGAGGAACATGTCAGGACAGGCAAACCGATCTTTTATACCTCTGCGGATTCCGTCATCCAGATTGCGGCACATGAAGGACATTTCGGTCTGGAGAGGCTCCTGAAGCTCTGCGAAACAGCTCGTGAATTTGCCGACACCTACAATATTGGCCGTGTCATTGCCCGCCCGTTTGACGGCGAGTCGTCCGAAACGTTCCGACGCACCGCCAACCGGCGCGATTACTCCGTCCTGCCGCCTGAACCGACTTTGCTGGATCGCCTGAGTGATGCCGGGAGAACGGTCATAGGTGTCGGCAAGATTTCGGACATCTTTGCGCATCAGGGTGTGGCCAGGGTTTTGAAGGGGGCAGGCAACGATCAACTCTTCGATCGGACCCTCGAAGCGATGGAGATGGCACAAGACGGCGATCTGGTCTTTTCCAACTTCATCGATTTCGATTCGCTATATGGGCATCGGCGTGACGTTCCGGGCTATGCGGCTGCCCTGGAACACTTCGACCGGCGGTTGCCGGAAATGATCAACAGAATGCGGGCGGGAGACCTGCTTGTTCTGACAGCTGATCACGGCTGTGATCCAACCTGGAAGGGAACCGACCATACTCGGGAAAATGTTCCGGTGATTGCGACCGGCCCGGGCATTGCGGGGAAAAGCGTCGGTGGTAGAAAAACCTATGCGGATATCGGCGAGAGTGTTGCGGCCCATCTCGGGATCGCGCAAGGTCCGCATGGAACGAGTTTTCTCCAGATTGATTGATCCTCACACTCAAGGCAGGTCTCGCCGGAAATGAACGAAACGCTCAACGTCCCGAAGGCCGAACTGCATTGCCACATCGAAGGCGCTGCGCCGCCCAGCCTCGTACGACGACTGGCCGGACAGCATGGCGTCGACGTCACGGAAGCAATTGACGGCAACGGAAAATACATCTGGTCCGATTTTACCAGCTTCCTGAAGGCCTATGATGTGGCCAGTTCGGTGTTCAAGACACCGGCGGATTATTCATTGCTTTCGGAAACCTACTTCAGGATGTTGGCCGCCGAAGGTGCCATTTACGGCGAAATCACCATATCGCCGGACCATGCTCAGGCAGCCGGGTTGTCATACAGGTCCTATGTCGAGGGCCTTGCCGCCGGGATCGAACGAGCCAAGACCGATACGGCTATAGAAGGCCGCATGATCGCGATCGGAGTGCGCCATTTCGGGTCCGCATCCGTCGAGCGCGTGGTCAAGGAAGTCATCGGAAATCCGCATCCGCTTGTGACCGGGTTTGGTCTTGCAGGAGACGAACGCGCGGGCCATCCGGCAAATTTTGCCAAGGCTTTCAGAATGGCATCCGATGCCGGTCTTGGAACCACCGCACATGCAGGCGAGTTCGGCGGTCCGGACAGCATCATCGCGGCCCTGGAATTCTTGCGGGTCAAACGCATCGGGCATGGCGTTCGTGCCATCGAGGACAAGGAACTTGTGAAGCGGCTTGTCGATGAGGACGTTGTGCTGGAAGTCTGTCCGGGATCGAATGTCTCGCTCGGCGTCTATTCTCATCTTCGCTTTCACCCGGTGAATATCCTGCGCAAGGAAGGCGTGAAGGTCACGCTGAACTCCGACGATCCGCCGTTCTTCGGAACGACGCTCGGCAAGGAGTACACCTCTGTGGCGGAGACATTCGGCTGGTCGTTTGAAGATCAGATGGCCATTACCAGAACCGCGATTGAGGCAGCGTTCTGCGAACCGGCGGCGAAGAACCGGCTGCTGGTGCGCCTGGACAGCGCCAAACAAGATCGTGGCGGCAACTGAGGGGGGATACGTCATGGAGACATCAAACTCCACGCTGGATCTTTTTCGGCCCGAGGAAGTCCGGCGCCGGTCACAGGACCTTCTCGGCGTTGCCGGTTCTTCGGGTCTTCAACACGTAGACGTAGACCTCTCCGGACTTTCAGACATCCTTGTGATGCTTCTTGAGACCACCAGGGAAAACTATCCGGATTTTCATATTCCGCCCTACGGTGTTTGGCGTGACTTCGAGGCGGGCGACATCGACCGCTGGTCGGCTCTTGCCAATGCCCGTGCATTCGAAAGCGCTGAGGAACTGCTGGCCGCCGCAGCCGATCTCGCCATCCTGGGTGCCTATATGAAAACGATGCATCCGTCTGGCTGGACCTATGAAGACCAGATGACCGAAACCCGAGTATCCGGCAATCAGGCGTCAGCTCTTGCCACTTTTCACATGTTCGCGGCCGGATCGTTTTCAAGCGAAATGACCGATCCCTATCGCGTGGACGCGGACACTTTGATCCGGATGGAAAAGGACGAACTCGCGTTTGGTCTTCAATGGGATCTTCAGGACGACGTGGATCTTCTCGAGGCGATGCAAAAGCACCTCAAGCGCCTTGGTGAAGCACTCGCCCTGCGTCCCGATCTGTTTTCGAAAGGCGACGTTACCAGGCCGGGGCTGCTGGCCGTTGAACTTGCAAAGGAAAGCGGGGAGGCTGTCAGTGCGAATGTGATCTTGGACAAGCTTCTGGAAGCGCTGGCTCCTGTGTGGGTCGGTGGTGCGGAAACCGGTGACATCACGCTTGGGGACAGCTTCCGTCATTCAGGGACCGGAAGTGCGGAAACCGACACCGTCATTCCCTTTCACATGGCAGCGCAGGAAATGGTCTACGCTCTTGTTGAGCCATTCGCCTGGGCCGGTTTCGAAGTTTCGGAACTGGAACTCCTGACCGCACCGGCCGATGACGTGCATGCCAGCGTATTCCTGAAAGCCGGCGTGCTGAAGATCAGGGATGGTCCCGAGGCTCCGACAGAAGATGGTGTGCGGGACAGGATGGTTGAAATCCGCGCAATCACCATCGCATTGACAGACAAACTCGCGGACTTGTTGCGGCGTGAACTGGACGTTCCGGCTGAGCAATTGCCCCTGACATGCATCCTGGAGGGCGGTACCAGCCGCCTGGGGACGCGATTTTTGCGGGAAGGCTTCGGCGAAAGCGAAAAACTCGGGCGATATCTCAACCCGGGGGCTGTTTTTTGGTTGCCGTTCGGGGCATAGCTCCTGAACATTAAGAAACAACGGAACCGGTCCTGTCCGCGGGACCTGAGCAAAGAGAGGCAGACATGTCCGGAGCCAACGTCATCAGCCATCCGCTGGTCCAGCACAAGTTGACCATCATGCGCGACAAGGGAACATCGACACAGGGGTTCCGGCGCCTGTTGCGCGAGATATCGACCCTGCTGTGTTACGAAGTGACCCGCGATCTGCCCCTGGTCCGCCAGACCATCGAAACGCCGCTCGCCGAGATGCAGGCGCCAATGCTGGCAGGCAAGAAACTCGTGTTTGCGTCCGTTTTGCGTGCGGGCAACGGTTTGCTCGAAGGTATGCTGGAACTCGTGCCTTCAGCCCGGGTTGCACATATCGGCCTCTACCGGGATCCGGAGACGCTTCATCCGGTCGAATATTATTTCAAGGCACCTGACGATCTGAACGAGCGTCTCGTGATCGTCGTAGACCCGATGCTGGCAACCGCCAACTCGGCGATCGCTGCCGTTCACAAGATCAAGGAACGGGGGGCGAACAACATTCGCTTCCTGTGCCTGCTGGCCGCGCCGGAGGGTGTTGCGAAATTCAACGAGAACCACCCCGATGTTCCGATCTTTACCGCTGCGATCGACGAGAAGCTCAACGAAAAGGGTTATATCGTTCCGGGCCTCGGTGATGCCGGCGACCGGATGTATGGCACCAAGTAGACGGGCTGTTTCGTCATGATCACGGTTTTTGGCTCGATCAACCTCGACCTTGTCGTCGTCCTCCCACGTCTGCCAAAGGCGGGAGAAACCGTCAGCGGTCCGGATCATCAGACGTTCCCGGGCGGCAAGGGTGCGAACCAGGCCCTTGCTGCAAGACGAGCCGGAGCAAATGTGCGCATGATTGGCGCAGTCGGGCAGGATGCGTTTGGTGCGCTGGCCCTGTCCAACATGCGGAATGCGGATGTGGACCTTGCCGGCGTGAGATCATTGACCGGCTCGACCGGCCTGGCCCTGATCGGGGTTGATGCCGCAGGAGAGAACCAGATCATTGTGGCCAGTGGAGCCAATGCGCGCGTTGACTCCGGCTGGCTTGTTGGCGGATTGAACGCCGGCGGATTGCTGATGTTGCAGGGAGAAATTCCTTTCCCCGAGACCGAAAGGTCAATAGGGCACGCGCGCAACGCCGGCGCCGATGTGTTTTGGAACCCCGCACCGGTGCCATCGGAGGATCTCTCCGGATTGCTCGAGGGCATCACCACGCTTGTCGTCAATGAAGGTGAAGCTGCGGACATTGCATCGAGACTGGGAATATCGGGTGATCCCGATGCATTTGTGGATCGTCTGGCGGACGAAACGCATGCGATTGTCGTCACGCTCGGAGCAAGAGGCGTGTTGGCCGGTAAGGGCTCGGATCGTATTCAGATTGGATCTCCTGATATTGAGCCTGTCGATACAACCGGTGCCGGGGATGCTTTCTGCGGCGCGCTGGCAGCAGCGCTAGATGCCGGAACTGCGTTCGAGCGGGCGCTCAGGGAGGGCGTTGCCGCCGGTGCGCTCGCCTGTACCGCGACCGGGGCTCAATCGAGCGCGCCGGCAAAAGAAGACATTAGCCGACTGGCGGATCAAATCGTCTGAATTGGTTTTACAGGACACTAAGGAAATTGTGGTACCCGGAAGAAAGCTTCGAATAATCCGGGTGCACTATGCTGCGGTATGCCGTCATCTTGTTGATCCTTGTCGGGGTTGCCCCGATCGTGCCGATCCTCGTTGAGGCGCGTATCGGCACCGATGACCGCGCAAACACGGCGCAGGATGAGGTGCACGCTGGTTCGGGACCAAGGACACACCGGATATCGGTTGACCGCCGAGGACACTATGTTGCCGATGCCTATCTGAATGGCAGGGCGATCGATATGCTTGTCGACACGGGCGCAACCGTCACAGCCTTGCCGGTTTCGGTTGCCGAAGACATTGGAATCTTCCTGAGTCCCTCCGAGTACAAGCACCCGATCGGAACAGCAAATGGACGGGTTTACGGTGCCAGAACGGTGATCGACAAGGTACGCATCGGCGCGATCCGTTTCCGCAATGTCGAAGCGATCGTTCTGAGCGATGACAGTCTGGGTGTGCCGCTTCTGGGCATGTCCGCGCTCAGCCAGCTCAGGCGGTTTGACATTTCCAGCGGCACGTTAGTACTTGTTCAGTAATCCCGAATACAATTCGATTTCCCGTATCCACGTCCGGGTTCCCGACCGGCACTGAGAGGCATCGATGTTTCCAAAACCACGCCCGGAGCTGTTTCCCAACACGTTCGAGTATGAATCTCTCCCCATGGTGAAACCGACCGGCTTCAGGGAATACGATGCCCGCTGGTTGTTTGAAAAAGAAATCAACCTCATGGGTATGCAGGCGCTCGGAATGGGGATCGGTACTCTCATTCACGAGCGGGGCGTTCGTCCCGATATCGCCGTCGGCCATGATTTTCGCGGATACTCCTCGTCCATCAAGATGGCGGTCGTGAATGGCCTGCTCGCAGCCGGTGTCAATGTGCACGATATTGGCCTGGCATTGTCTCCGATGGCTTACTTCGCGCAATTTGCGCTGGATGTGCCGGCTGTTGCCATGATCACCGCGTCCCACAACGACAATGGCTGGACCGGCGTGAAAATGGGTATCGACCGGCCATTGACGTTCGGTCCGGACGAAATGGGGCGACTGAGGGAAATCGTGCTTGACGCGGCCTATGATTTGAAGGGCGGTGGCAGCTACCGTTTTGTGGACGGGTTCCCGGACATCTATTTCAAGGATCTTACCGACAGGCCCAAACTGAAACGCCCGATTAAGGTCGTCGCGGCCTGCGGAAACGGGACAGCCGGAGCGTTTGCACCGAAAATACTGGAAGCGGTGGGTGCGGAAGTCATCCCGCTTGATACAGAGCTCGACCACACATTTCCCCGCTACAATCCAAATCCGGAAGACATGCAAATGCTGCATGCGCTCCGGGACAAGGTTCTGGAAACCGGTGCCGATGTCGGCCTCGGTTTCGATGGCGACGGTGACCGTTGCGGTGTCGTCGACAATGAGGGTGAGGAAATCTTCGCGGACAAGGTTGGTGTGATGCTAGCGCGTGATATTTCTGCACTTCATCCCAATTGCCAATTCGTCGTCGATGTGAAGTCGACCGGACTGTTCAACACCGACCCGGTGCTTCGGGCGAATGGTGCCCGGACCGACTATTACAAGACGGGGCATTCCTACATTAAACGCCGCGTTACGGAGCTTGATGCGATCGTCGGGTTTGAAAAGTCCGGCCATTATTTCTTCAACAAGCCGATCGGACGCGGATATGACGATGGGCTTGTCTCGGCAATCGCCATTCTCGACATGCTCGACCGGAATCCCGGAAAGTCGATGGCAGACCTGCGCCGTGATCTGCCGAAGACCTGGGGTTCTCCGACCATGTCGCCGAAATGCGCCGATGAGATCAAATATGATGTTGTCGAGCGTGTTGTCTCGAAGTTCCACGAAATGAAAGACAGAGGCGAGACAATCGCGGGCCATGAGATAACCGACCTGATAACGGTCAACGGCGTGAGGGTCGTCAGCAGCGACGGCACCTGGGGACTTGTTCGCGCGTCTTCCAACAAGCCGGAACTGGTTGTGGTGGTCGAGAGCCCGGTTTCGGAAGAAAGGCTGCATGAAATGTTCAAGGCAGTTGACGGCATTCTTCGTGAAAATCCGGAAGTTGGCGAATACAATCAGACACTCTAAGGTTTGGCGACATGTCACAGGGCAGCGAATGATTCCGCCGTCCAGGCGTATCTCAGGCAAGCCTTTTTGGAAAAATCTGCATGATCAGTGAATTCGGCACCCTTCCGGACGGCACGTCTGTCCAGGAAATCACGTTGAAAAAAGGGTTTCTTGAAGCGTCCGTCCTGACATTTGGTGCCATCATCCGAGACTTGAAGGTAGACGGTCAATCGGTGGTCCTCGGATTTGAAGATCTGCACAGTTATCTCGATCACTCTGCTTATTTCGGGGTAGTTGCCGGGCGCTGCGCCAACAGAATTGCCGGCGGAAAGATCAAGATCGAAGGGGAAACCTATCAGCTCGATTGCAACGACGGCGGGCTGCATCACCTTCATGGCGGCGCGACAGGGTTTTCTTCAAGAAACTGGCAGGTGGAACAGAGCGACAAGGCCAGCGTGCTTTTGAAACTTGTTTCCGAAGATGGAGACATGGGATATCCGGGCCAGGTCGAGGCACTTGTGCGCTACACGCTGACCGGATCAGGCGCGTTGAGGGTGAAGATCTCCGCGACAACAGACAAGGCGACACCCGTCAATCTGACCCAGCACAGCTATTTCAATCTTGATGGCAGCGAGACAATTCTGGACCACAGCCTTGAGATTGCGGCAGAAACTTATCTGCCTGTTGATGAGACCCTGATCCCGACCGGCGAAGTCAGGCGTGTGGAATGGACGCCCTTCGACTTTCAGGATGGTCGCAGTCTTCGACGGAAGCCAGGCGAGGAGGATCTGCAATATGATCATAATTTCTGTCTGGCGGGAGAACCCCGGTCATCGATGGGCTTCGCGGCAGCGCTGGAAGATTCTACAGGCGAACGGCGGATGGAAGTCTGGACGACCGAGCCGGGTCTTCAGCTTTATGATGCGGCAAGATTGAACGTGCCTGTTCCAGGGCTTGGTGGCAAGACCTACGGTCCGCATGCGGGCCTGTGTCTGGAGGCGCAACGATGGCCGGACAGCATCAATCAGAAAGAATTTACACCTGTCCTGTTACAACCATCACAGACCTATAGTCATGTGACGGAATTCCGTTTTTCCTGAGATGGGTTACATTGGAGCAGGCGGCGGCAAAGCCGATGTGAAACGATGAAGGCAAAGGGGGCAGCGATTGAAGACGGTATTTTCTGACCTCCAGCTCGCGCATGCGCCGGCACAGGAGATTTCAGATGGCGAGTTGAAGCCGGCTGTCGAAATCCCACGCCGCGCCGAAATCGTTCTGGAAACTGTCAGGCAAAGGAAAGTCGGAGACGTCGTCGGTTCGGAAGAGTTTCCGATCCGTCCACTTCAGCGGGTCCATGCCTCACACTATGTTTCGTTCCTGGAAAGCTTCTGGGGGAGGTGGGCGGACGCGGGCCGGACCAAGGAGGCGTTTCCGTTCGTTTGGCCCATTCGCAGTCTGCGGCAGGATGTCGAGATCGAGCATATCGACGGTTTGTTGGGCCGCTACTCGATGGATGCCGGAACACCGGTTGGAGAATTCACTTATCAGGCGGCACGCGCATCGGCGAACACCGCATTGACCGGCGCCAAACTCATTCTGGATGGTGAAAAGTCGGCTTTTGCCCTGTGTCGGCCACCGGGTCACCACGCCGGCTTTGATTTTTACGGCGGATATTGTTTCTTCAACAATGCGGCAGTCGCTGCACAATATCTGCGCGACTACGGTTTGAACCGCGTTGCCATTCTGGATGTCGACTATCATCACGGCAACGGCACGCAAGCTCTCTTCTACGACCGCCCGGATGTCCTGTTCCTGTCGATCCACGCTGATCCGAAGAATGAGTATCCCTATTTTCTGGGATTTGCGGATGAAACGGGTGAACATGCCGGAACCGGTTTCACCCGCAACTGGCCCTTGCCTCTCGGCACCGATTGGGATGCCTATACACCTGCCCTCGAAGAGGCCTGCCGCTGGCTTCTGGTCTACAAGCCGGATGCGATGATCGTGTCACTCGGGCTCGACTGCTTCGAGAACGACCCGATCTCGGGATTCAGGTTCAAGAGCGAGGACTACATTCTGCTCGGGCAACGCCTTGCCAAAGTAGGTGTGCCGACGCTTTTCCTCCTGGAAGGGGGATATGCGGTCGACGCCCTTGGCACAAATTGCGTGAATGTCCTGGAAGGTTTCGGGGGCTCATAGCAAGCCGAGTTGCCTGAGATCTTCGGCGAGAATGTCTGCCGACGTGAAGTGATGCGCCCTCATGCCGACGCCTCTGGCGGCTTCGACGTTGGCGATGGAATCGTCGATGAACAGACAGGTTCCCGCGTCCAGCCGGTTTCGCTCAAACAGGACGCTGTAGATCCTCGGGTCAGGCTTGATCATCCTTTCTTCTGCTGAAACGACGACATCCAGGAAACTGGTTCTTAGGAACGGAAACCGGTCCTGTGCCTCAAGGAATTTCTCGGACGAGAAATTGGTGACTGCGTAAAGCGGAATACCTTTCGACCCGAGTTCCTCCAACAATTGCCGCGTCCCCGGTATCTCGCCCGGGACCATGTCGTGCCAATGATCCGAATAAGCCGCAATGAGCTCTGCCTTGTCAGGATGAAGTGCACAAAGCGTTTCCACGCCTTCCTTCCAGGAGCGGCCGAGATCCTGTTGCAGGTTCCAGTCGGGAGTACAAATTGATGCCAGAAACGACGTCCGCTCCGTTTCGTCTGGAATAAGGCGTCGATAGAGATATTCCGGATTCCATTCGATCAGGACATTACCTATATCGAAGACAACCGTCGTGATAGGATTGGGCATTGAATAGTCCGATATTTGTTGTGAGAGAATTTTTGGGCGATGTGCGAATTTTCGATCTTGATCAAAGAGTTATGACAGGACTATGGCCTTGTTGACCAATATCACCAAACTTGTTGCTCTGATTCTTTGCCTTTTCGCCCTTGTTGTTTCTGCCGAGGCCAAAGATCCTGAAGTCATGCCCGACCGGCTGCGTCTCGGTGTCGTCGTTGGTGCGGATGAAAATGCACGCGAGCGCGTTGAACCTTTTCGGCTCGCTCTTGAGGAAATTGCTGATCTTCCGGTTGATCTGTTTTTGATGGAAACACTGGGGGAGGCGGTCGAGGGCCTCGTCAACGGACGGATAGACTATGTTCGCCTGTCTCCTTCTGCCTACGCGGCGGCTCATCGGCTTTGCAAATGTGTAGAGCCGCTTGTGACTGCCGGGCCGGACGATTTTCCAGCCCGCTTCTATGCCATCCTCGTCAGCAAGCGCGGCGGAGACAGCACCTCGATTGAAGATCTGAAAGGCACTCGTCTTGCTGTTGGAAACAAGCATGCAGTTGCGGCATATCGTGTGCCGATTGCCAATCTTGCCGCCGACGGAATTGACGCCAGGTCTCATTTTCAGACGTTGGTCGAGGTCCAGAACCCTGTTGAAGGCCTGCAGGCACTTCTGGATGGACGCGTTCAGGCTTCGCTCGCCTGGTCGAGCCTTGCAGGTGAGGCCAAGAACGGCTTCACGGCAGGGACATTGAACGACTACTACGTCTCGGGCAGCAAGGGCTTCAATGATCTGCAGATCGTCTGGCGGTCCCCGCCCATTCCATATTCCGCGCATAGCATTTCAAAAGATCTGCCCGACGCGCTCAAGCGGCGTCTTCGGGCCGGCTTGATGGACATGCGCCGGGAGGCGCCAGGCGCCTACCTGGCGATTGAACCTGACTTGCCCGGAGGGTTCGAGCCGGTGGTGCATGCGGATTACAGGCCTGTTCTCAGAACGTTCGAAGATGAGTATTCGAGCCTGCTTGAGGTGGAGGGTCGACGTTAGCTGCCTGCAGGAAAGGCTTCAGCACGCATCAGACGCTCAGTATGGCGGCGGATCATTTCTTCTTCGTTGGTCGGGATTACCAGTACCCTGACCCGAGATGTTTCAGCAGTGATATCTTCGACACGCGCATTGTTCTTCTCCTCATCGATGGAGAGCCCGAGCCAATCCTGGTCGGCACAGACCATGGATCGGATAACTGCTGCGTTTTCACCAATCCCGCCAGTGAAGACGACAGTGTCCAACCCTTTCAGAATTGCTGCCATCGCACCGAGTTCCCGCCTGATGCGGAAAACAAAATAGTCAATTGCCGCTATCGCCCCGGGATCGTCGCTTTCTGTCAGTGTGCGCATGTCCTGGCTGATGCCGGACAGACCCTTGAGGCCGGATTGCTTGTAGAGGAGGTTCGAGATCTCCTCGGGTGTCATGCCTTTTGTCGTCATGAGATACAGCACGACCCCCGGGTCGAGCTGTCCGCAGCGCGTGCCCATTGGCAAGCCGTCGAGGGCAGTGAATCCCATCGTCGACCCGATGCTCTGACCATCCCGGATCGCGCACATGGAGGCTCCGTTGCCCAGATGGGCGACAACCAGTTTGCCTGCTCCGAAGTCCTGGCCGGTTTCCTTGAAATGGTTGCAGATATATTCATAAGAGAGGCCGTGAAATCCATAGCGGCGCACGCCTTCTTCGTAAAGTGACTGCGGCAGCGCGAATGTATCGTTGACCCAGGGATGGTTGCGATGAAAGGCCGTATCGAAACAGGCGGTCTGGATCGCATTTGGAAACGCTGTGCGTGCCGCATCGATCCCGGCGAGATTGTGCGGCTGATGCAAAGGCGCCAGTGGTTCGAGCGACTTGAGATCCGAAAGAACGTCATCCGTGATCTGTAAAGGCGTTGCGTACTGCATGCCTCCATGAACGACCCGATGCCCGACCGCGTCGACCTTCTGCCCGTTTGTTTCCTCTTCAAGAATGGGAATCAGTGCGGCGAGTGCCGACCGGTGCGTCCTGCCTGCTTCGGCGGATAGCTGTCTGTCTATTCGGCCGCCGGTCCTTTCTGATTTGAGGTCAATGTGCGGTTCTGCACCCAGACCTGAAATCTGTCCAGCCAACCGGGGGCGATCACCTTCAAAGAGGGTGAACTTGATGGACGAGGAACCTGAATTGAGAACAAGAATGACGGGTGTCATCGTCATTTCACGTCACGGTCCAGAAATCCGACCGGCGCACCGCTTGCTTTCCAGTGCACATAGAGCAGGGCAAGGGCGCAGGATGCGAGCCGGGAACGGCCGTCGTCGGCCCGGCTGGTCAGCATCACCGGAACTTTTGCGCCGATCACAAGACCGGCAGCTTCGGCATGGGCGATGAACGTCAGTTCCTTTGCCAGCATGTTGCCGGATTCCAGGTTGGGGACAATCAGGACTTCGGCGCGGCCCGCGACCAGAGACGTGATGCCCTTCGTGCGCGCCGCCTGCAGGTCGATTGCATTGTCCATTGCCAAAGGTCCGTCGACGACAGCGCCTGTGATCTGGCCACGTTCGGCCATCTTTGACAGCACCGCGGCATCAAGGCTCGACGGAATGGCCGGGTTGACCGTTTCGATAGCGGACAGAATGCCGACACGCGGCGTTTCCAAACCGAGTGAACACGCTGCGTCGATGGCGTTTTGCGTGATATCGACTTTCGTGTTGAGGTCCGGCGTGATGTTGATCGCCGCGTCGGAGATCAGAACAGGCGTTTTGCGGCCGGGAATGTCCATGACGAAAACATGGCTGATACGACGCTTCGTTCTAAGGCCGCCATCGCGTTTAACCACGTGATGCAGGAGATGATCGGTATGAAGGTGACCCTTCATGACAGCTTTCACCTTGCCTTCGTGCACCATGGCGACGGCCCGTCCGGCGGCCTCCATTTCATCTTCGATATCGATCAGTTCGTAGGTATCGATGGTTTCACTGAGTTCCTTGGCCGCGTCTTCAATCCTGCTTTTCGCGCCAATAAGAACCGGCCTGATCAGGCCTTCCCGCGCTGCCATCAGGGCACCCTCGAGAGAATTGGGGTCATCTGGAGCAACCACCGCCGTTGGCAAGGCGGGGAGTGTTTTTGCGAGCTCGATCATTCTGTTGAAGTGGCGGTGACGTTGCACCAGCAGGGCGGGGATGTCGCTGGAATCGAATTCGATGGTCTCCGTGGGCGCGGCGACCTCGGCAACGCCTTCCACCAGGCGAAAACCATCGCCGCGGGTCACGGTCAGATCAAAGACGACAATGTTGTCCGGCCGCTTTTCGGTCGCGGTCACTTTCACGTGCAAATGATCGCCCACCGCAGCTGCACCAAGAAAACGAAACGACTGTGATTTATAAACCGTGCCGGGACCTGGCAGAATGTTTCCGAGAACCGCGGATGCCAGTCCACCGACCCACATGGCGGGCGCGACCGGTTTGTCGACAATACCGTCGCCGGTCCAGTCGGTATCGGGCAAGTGGATCGGATTGCGATTTCCGGAGGCATGCGCGAAAACCAGCAGGTCATTGCTGGAACACTCCCGGACGATTTCCGCCGTGTCGCCTACGGCAATCTGTTCGAAAGTCTTGTTTGTCGCCATCGGTTCAAGGTCCCCAACTGAAACAGGAATATTGCAATGCAATGTAGCCTGATGAGGGTACGCGCGCTATGCGACGATGCAAATACGGGAAAGATAGTGTTGGCCGCTGAAACCCGGGTCAGCAATTGCTGCAGGTGACAGTCCCCGTGATCCTTGGCGTCAGGAAATATGTGTCGCTAAGGTTCATGACCGAAGGACTCCATTCGAATATTCCCGAAAACAGTCCCGTGAAGCTGGGAGTGTAGGTCAGGTTGGACTGCCCAACGACAATTGAAGAATTCGGTACGGCTACGGTGCCCGGCAAGGTGATTGGGGGCGCGGCACCCGTCGACCAGGGGGTGGCTCCGGCTGAATCGCGGCTCCAGTCAACGCTGGCATCGCCGTCGTCATCAAAGGAGACGCTGGCAACGATCACCTGCAGGTTTGTCGACGGATAGGGGTCAAGGATTTTCTCGCCGATATTCATCAGCGAATCGAGGTCGGTCCTGGAAACGGCTTCTTCCTGTGCGATCAGGTCGGCCACGGCGTTTGCGATGCGGCTGACCTTCCTGTCCTGGTTGAGAGCTTCCGCCAGCTCCGTCATGCCAATCAGAAGAAAGAACATGAACGGAAGGATCATGGCGAATTCAACGGCGGACACGGCATTGTCGTCACGGCGGAACTTTTTCATGGCTCCAGTGGCGAAATTCGTCGCGGTAACCAGGGTTGGCATGAAATTATTCCCAGGGTTCATTGCGGAATACCATTGTTGACGTCAGAAATCGCTCGGTTCCGGAATCATCCAGTGCGAGGTTCAAAGCGGCGGTCATCATCGGCCATTTGTAAATGACCTTCACGACCACGATCTTGCCGGCACCACCGATATCGTATGTAAGGTCGTCGTCTTCCTTCAGATTGCCGTCAGCGTCGTAAAGACTGTCCGTCGACCCGGCAGCTGCGAACGAATCGACACTTTCCACCTCAACCACGATTCTGTCGGTGTCACACATGAACGCCGGCATGAAGTCGCAGATCTGCGACTTGAATTGAGAGGCTGTAAGCCCGCTGGTGTGCGCCTGTCCGGTCCTGATCAGTCTCGATGCACTAATAACGGAGTTGTCGACCATCCGGCCGACGAACATCGTAATGCCGACTTCCATGATGCCGAAGACGATTATGAAGAATGGCAGGGCCACCATCGAAAATTCGACGGCCGTCACACCCTCACGGTCTTTCAGGAGCGACCGTAGTAATCTGGTTCCTAGGAACCGGCGGTGTTTTTCTCTGCCACTCATCGTTTTCTCACATTATATGACGGTCACTTCACGCCTGCCGCGCTGGCCGCCATGGAGTTTCTGGAGTTTGCCTGCTCGGCAATCCCGTTGAATGCATTGACATCGTCGCCCAGGCGCATTGTTGGCTCGCAGCTTGGATTGCAAGACATGGTCGAGCGCAGCGATTTGCGATAGACGGCAACAACGTCGTCCTCCGAAGCGCGAACTGTTATGACTTCGTCGACGATAGGCTTGCTGTTGCTGTCCAGGATGACGAGGTTGGTGGTGCCGTAACTCTTTCCGGTTATCACAACCGTATTCTCATCAAACATGGACACGTCTGCGATGAACGGGTTTCCGACGATGACGGCCGAGGCCCCATCGTCGATCCGAAAGATCTTGGCACGGTCAACTGTCACCATGACCGGTCCGTCCTGCGCCATCGCAATGCTTGTCTGTGCTGCAAACAAAAGCACGCCAGTCCATCTGATTAGGTTCGTAAACATGCTTATGAATACTCCATTAGTGCCAATTCTTACGAGATCATGCCGCAAACGTGGTGAACGATCTGCTAACGTAACGAAAATTGGCGAAGAACTACTGACACGTCGATATGCTTTAAGAGTCTGAGGTGTTTTGAATGCAAATTCGAAATTATTCCTGAGACTCCTGAATTGTTACAATGTTTGTTTCGAAGAGAATGCCACCAAGAATAATATTCGAAATAAAACAATAAGTATAAGATTGACAAATCCGTAAAAAAGTTATGTATGATTGGAGATCTTATGAGGATATTTTAATTTATACTGCAAAATATTTTGAATTTCATTAGAAAATAAGCTGAGTTAACTATTTTTTATCTATACCGATTTTTAACTATAGTTACATTTATGAAGATTACCCCGGAATCATGTGGTCGCTTTAACTGGTTGGAAAGCTCTCTGCCCTAGGTTGGGTTCATGTTCGAACGGACCAGAACAAGATCCGGCGGACTTGAAGCTGTCAACTCAGTGGTACTTGGAGCAAAAAACATGAAAACTCTTATCAACCGTTTCGTAAAAGACGAATCTGGCGCAACTGCAATTGAATACGGCCTGATCGCCGGCTTGCTGTCCATCGTCATCATCGCGGCTGTATCTCTTGCAGGTACGTCCCTGACGAGCGTCTTCAGCACAATTTCCACAAAGCTGAACGACTCCGTCAAAACCACTCCGTAACTTCGGTTGGTTTCGCAAGGCTGATTTCAGCGCTTGCTTCCGAGAAACGGGCAGTTTTCTGCCCGTTTTTTCGTTTTGGTATCCGTCTTTCGTTAACTCTCCGCGCCTATACTTCCGAAGACAGGAACAAAAAACGGGTTCTCCATGCTATCGGCAGCTCTTCTGGTCATATTTCCAATGCTCGTTGCGTTCGGCGGTGCCTCTGACTTGCTGACGATGACCATTCGGAACCGGGTTTCAATTCTCCTGATGGCGGGATTTGCTGCGTTGGCACTGGCAACAGGCCTGCCTCTCTCCGCCTGGGGTTCACACGCCTTGGGATTGCTGGTCGTGTTTCCTGTCTGCTTCGGCTTTTTTGCTGCAGGCTGGATGGGTGGCGGCGACGTGAAATTCATCAGCGCCATTTCCCTGTGGATCGGTTTTAGTCCGGAATTGGCAGGATTTGTCTTGCTGGTATCGACTTACGGTATGTTGCTGACCCTCGGTCTGCTTTTCATGCGCACGAGTCTCGTGCTCCCCGCTTCGCTGGCACGGCAGGAATGGCTAGCACGGCTTCACGATCAAAAAAGCGGCATTCCCTATGGGGTCGCCATCGCGGTCGCCGGGTTACAGATTTATCCCATGACGTCCTGGTTCCAGCAGATCAGTCAGGCCTACTAGACGTTCCCCATTCATTGCTTCAGGGCATCGCCGCCAATATTTCCAGGTGTCACCTGCGGAGAGCGCGGCGAAATGCCGACCTGTAATCTGGCGAGCTCAGTCTGCCTGGAGCGCATCCATTGAATGTTGTTTCGTTTGATGCCGGAAAGCAGGTCACTCGGCAAGGCGCGTCACGAAGGGCGATGCGGTGCATCGGTCAAGTGGCGCAACGCTGCCGATGCGCTGCTTTCCGGCACCCGAAGGGCCGGGCTCTTTCTCCCGCTGACTGCGTTGGCTTGCGCTTGTGGTGGGGTACACCGCTGCACACAAGCCGCCTGGTCAGCCGAAGAAAGCGCGCCGGTCAAATGATCCAACATTCAATGGATGCGCTCTAGAACGGTTTTCGATGTCGCCGGTTTCTTGGCTCTGACGGTCGGCACTTGAATTTCGGCATGGCCACTCGTGGCGCGCGCAGCTCAGACCAGCCTATTGAACGATCCTTTGGCTGAAGCTGGCCCGTTTTCGAAAATACTCGAACTATCGGAAATTGCACAAAGCCAAACAGCATCGAGGATGGACTGGTCGCCGCCAGTTTTTGACGAGCCGCTCGATCTTGCAGACTTCGGTCCGGATCAAGGACAAAACAACTTCTGCGCCGTGACATTGGTCGTTTTCCGGTTGTGAGCCCGGAAGGGAAGGGGACCGGCTCCTGTTTGCTCAATCGTTAATTCGAATCACTGGCAGCACTGGACGGTTGATTCGGCGGATATGCAGACTGTGGACAAGCGTCTCCGTACTCAAAGAAAGCTCGATTTACGAAAATTTCTGCATTCTGAACAGCATAGGTTCGGGTGCAGTAGCGGTGCGGCATCCGCGTGTATCCAGCGTCAAAAGCCGGGTTTTTCGCAAATTGAAATCGAATTAGGAAGGTTTTTAGTAAAGTTAACGGAAATTAACCAAAAACTTCTACTCCTGATTAACCATGTTTTGACCAATTACCCGTCATCCTGTCTTCAACAAACGCATCTGCGCACAGGATCATTGGATTTTTTGTCATGAAAGTCGCTCGAATCTTAGTATTGGTTGTCGCGGTGGTCGCCGGCTTGCTGGCATTTCGCATGGTCATGTTGTCGGGCGGTGGTGAACCGGCGCCGCAGATTGTCCAGGCACCCACAGAAACCAAGACAGCCCAGGTTCTTATCGCCGATGTGGATATTCCTCTCGGTGCGAAACTGACGAAAGAGAATTTCGACTGGAGCGACTGGCCCGAAGATGCGCTGCCGCGTGGCGCAGTGACCAAAGCAAATACTCCTGCCGCGCAGGAAGATTTCCTGGGGCAAATCGCCAAGGCGCCGATCTTCGCCGGCGAGCCGATCAGGCCGGAGCGGCTGATCAATACCGACAAGGGTTTCATGGCAGCCATACTTCCGAAGGGAAAACGCGCCATTGCCGTCAGGGTGGAGGAGGAAACGACCGCTGGTGGTTTCATTCTTCCCGGCGACAAGGTCGACCTGATCCTGACGCGCAGGTTTGACGAAGGCGCGGTCAGCGAGACCATCCTGGAAAACAAACGTGTGTTGGCGATCGACGCCACCACGGCAGGCGAACAGGACCAGAAGAACCTGTCTCCCAAGAAAACGGCGACTTTGGAATTGACGCTGGCAGAGTCGGAAATCGTTGCGCAGGCCCAGCAGACCGGGACGATCTCGCTGGCGCTGCGAAGTGCACAGGACTCGGCGGACGATGCCGAAGAAGACAAGAGCCGCCGCAATGACGTGAGTTACGTGAAATACGGCATCACAAGCAAGGCAATTGCGCCATGAAACCGGATCTGACGAGAACGTCCAGCATGAGGGGCGCGATGAAAAACTATATAATCAAATTTGCAGCT